ATAATATAATTATATAATATATAAATATATAAATATTAAATATTTAAATATATATTATTATATTAATTTATTATTATATTAAATATACATATATGATTTATATTTAATAATATATTATATAATTTTGGTTTTTGTTTTATATTAGTTTTAAAATATTCATCGATGCGTGATTAATATTCTAGCAAAAGAATAAAAACAATAAGTTATTAAAGTATTCGAGAAAGATTGAAATAATCCATAAAGCTGATACAGCTAAGCACCTAACTGTATATATCTGTTACATCTATTCAGAATCTGTATGATAACGTATTATAAATTTCTATCTTCGCTCAAGAAAATGTGCATGTGTGCCTAACTACATGACACGTTGAACATACTTTTAAACCATGTGAAAAGTACCGTTTCGGAGAGTGCATGATCATTTTTATTATTTTTTTTTTCTAACTACGATTTAACCTATAGCATTAATTTGTCATGAATAATTTTTTCAATGTGACATACTTTCAACTACGTAGATTTTCTTTTTTTTTTTCGTCAAGGACAAGTTTTAAAGATACGAAGGAAATAATTTTAATCAGTGGTTTTGTTTTCTTCTCTTTTTCAGGTATCGTCGCATTTGTCAGTCACAGTTTACGTTGAGGATATTAACGATCATGCACCACAATTTGTTGATGCACCTTATCACGTGACAGTCGATGAACTCACGCCAACCGGTAAGAGATGAGTTAACTTACCAATTTTTATTTTTTTATTTTAACTAATTTTTAAGTATGTATATAAGTAACAAGTTTTTTTCTTTTTGTGTTTATTTCGCGAATTATTGTTTTCTTCTTAAAATACCTTAACTTATAATATTATGTAAATTAATATATTATAATATATTAATTTATATTTGTATTATATAATTTATTATATATTTATTTATATGTTTATTATATATATATATATATATATATATATAAGTTAATTATTATTAACTTAATAATATATTAATATAATAATATAATGAAAATACTTATAATATTATATAAAATAATATATTATAATAAAAAATATTTAATAAAATAATTAATAAATAATAATATAAAATACCTTAACTTATAATATTATATAAAATA